CAAAATAAACAACTAGATAAATAGTGCTCTTGTGTTTCTATCTTTTCAAAACAATTTGAAAAACTGTTGAGGATTACCCTCCGTCAAATACCGTGTCACTTTAAAGAAACTCAACTCTAGTTATCTAGAAATGCGTAGTTACTGCGTAACATTTCATAGGGATTTATTCAAAAACAGACAGTTGTTTGAATGATTTACCACATGGCTCATGTCTGAATTCATTCCTAAAACCTTTAATAAATTCTTGTTGGTGCAAACGATTGATATGTGTATGAGAGAGAAAGAGAGAAAAGAGCTAAGTTGACCAATTAACAAACGTTACATATCGGCAGACTGAAGCAGTCAACTATCCATAGAAGAGAATAGCAAATAAGAATTAGGCAAACTATGAATTAGTAATTGTATATACAGTTATAAATTCCAATTAAATGCATATATAGATTTAAAAAATAATGTTTCTCTTATTTCATTTAAACCACTGATGAAATGATGATACTGCAACAAGTAGATATGGATATATTTTGTGTATACATCCAAAACTTCAATTCTTATTCATTAGAAGGATTGATGCACTAAAACAAAACAAAATATAATCAAAATAAAGTATTTGCCTGCTAATAATAATTCACTCAAAAATATGCATTATTGATTCATCAGTTTAGTACAAATTTGAATTTTATTTATGCAGGTGACTATTATATTTCTTTATTTCAAATCAGAGAAAAATAAGCAAGTTTACCTATCGCATAAATACACCCAAGAAATTAAGACTACAATGCCTTCAGCCAAATTGTTACTGTATTTGTCAGTCAGTCAGTCATCTACAACGTAGGGCCAGGCACATATATGCATCGATCCAAATTGCCACACCTCATTAGCACAACAAGATGAACACCGAATTCACAAAGGCAGTTACTTCAACAGTAGTAATAGATTTAAAAAGCGAGATTGCATATAAGGATATAATACAGGGAGAAAGAATTGGTTCGTAGAAAGAAAGGGATAAGGCAATTTTAATCTCACGGTTTAAGGGAAGACAAAGAGTGTATACACTTAAGCCATTGTGACTGATTCTGAGCCACGTCACCCAGAGTTTCCAACTGCACTGCATTTGTACTTAATTCATGTGACTTGTGTATATGAACCATATTCTTATAAGGGACAAACAAGCAAATACTACGAGTATTCACATAAAAATTAATCAAACAAAAGATTGTTTGAATAACAAATACAAAAAACAAGCATTACAAATTATTTTGCTACTATTTCAGTTATCACGTTAAGATATGTGTAATCGGCTTCTAGTCACATTTTCAATGTAAGGGTTAATATCATCCAATTGCCTAAACTGAAGTAGATGGAGCGGAGTTCGAAAAAGCAACTTAGGGACTGGAAGTCAAGCAATTTAACCACTGAGTCACAATATGCACTAGCAAGTTATCTGCAGAATAATCCAGTCTAGTTTCTTTCGAAGCAATCACAGATATCCAGTTGACAGTGTAATACTTTTACGGAATAGTTGAATTAAGCAGTTTAGTCAAAATCACAGAGTGAGCTATTAAAATTTTTTTTAAAAATTGATGGCTGTTTCGTTGCATTTTGAAATTTCAGTTATGAACAAATAATTAAATCCAGGAACTCTAATTATCAGTACACTACTCTTAAAGCACCAATTCGAATATGAGCTAAAACAAATTCAATGTATTAGACATGCAAAATCAATTTGACTGCACTTCCATCACATAAAAAAATATTGAAGGAAAAAAGTTAACGGACATGAATTTTACACGTCTAATCAGAGTGAAAGACTTTTATTTATTTCGAAAGTACTGATGGAAAGTATAACATTAATAATAATAATAATAATAATAATAATAATAATAATAATAATAATAATAATAAACAAGTGTAACTCATTTACAAAGTACAGATTTCTGTACTTGGATTTAAGTCACACTATCTGTGTAACGGCTATTTCATGATATTACCCGACCCTCATGACCGAAATGAGTGAGACTGACTTTGAATATGTGGCCTACTGATTGAAAGTTATCAAGTAACTTCTTTAGATTAATATTAAATTTATAAACAATGAATATTTAAGACAATTTTAGATCGATTTTGAAAATTTTTGCTTAAAGGTGATCAAATTTAGATAATAAGTATTTACCATTACTTTATTTACTTTCGCAACTACAATCTTAATTTATTTAATTCCTTTAAATTTTTATTTAGGCAATGAAAAGACAAATACCGTACATATAACTAACCAACTAAGTCAGAATGAATTAAAAAGTCAGGAAGAAATTGTTATTCAAGAAAATAATCAAACAAATCCTCACTATATAAACAATGAACAAGCAAATATTTCTACAGAAATGAAACTTAACTTAACACTGAAAATGTATATTTTAATATTTAGTATAATATTAATTTGTATATTTGGATTACCGATTTCCATCTTAATTGGATGTTATTTAATGAAAAGTAGGTATGATCATCGTCATCGCCATCAATATAAACGTAAAAGTGATTACCATCAGTATACTACGACTACTACTGCACCGAAAACAACACGGTCAAGATATCGTCGCTATTATCAACGGTGTTATTCACGTGTTAAACCTTTTCTAGTAAAATCACTACATGATTATAACAAGGATCAATCAGAATTAGAAGCATCAATAAAATCACCTATTTCAGTATCAACGTCGTCATCATCGTCATCAGTGTCACCATCCTCTTCACCAGTTCTAATATTAAAAGAATCTTATAAAACAAATAATCGAGCGAATTATAACTTGACATCAATGCCATCCACAACAAAAATAACAAAAGTATCAGAAAATGAATGTAATTCCAAATCTATTCATCATCGTTATCGTCAACATCACCATTATATTCAACATGTGAAAGCAAATAAACGAGAGAACACTATGATCAACAGTGATGATATAAAGTTAATTCAACCGTTATCAACAATGTCCGACACTAAATTAAATGAACATGTTAATTCAAATGATCATAATAATACTGTTAATTATGAAAATCAAAATAATAAATGTTATAGTCCTATTAAAAAATTTAATGATTATATACTTCCAACAATGAATACAACTGTAGCAAAAATTACTCATTCACCTGTGATTATTAGATTGAAATCATTGAATGAAACAAATTATACATTCAAAAAACAACAAAATCAGTCAACTTTAATTAAATCACTTTCTATGAATGATGATAGTAACAATTGTAATATTAATAATGTTGAAGATCATCAAACAATTGAAAGTAAACACATAAAAGATACAATTCTACAACAATATGACAACAATAAAAGAAACAATATTAAAACAATGAAAGAAATAACAACACCTAGTTCACAAGATAAAAAATACTGTAAATTAATAAATCAACAAAAAAGTCCAAAAGAAATTTTATTAAAAAATTTGATATTATCAATGGATACTAATTATCATCACCAAAATAATAAAAACAATAAACATACTACTTATAACAATGATAATAATAATAGTCAATGTATATCACATATAAAAAGTGAACCATCTACACCAAATATTTTTATGCATAATGTAACATTTAATTCGTATTATTCCACTACATGTTCATCGCCTTGTTGTTCACCTAGTCCAATAACAGTAAATGATTATAACAGTTCACAACATAAAACTACAATAACAACTGTTTTAACTATGAATAATAAACATATGAATTCAATGGAACAACAAAATAAATTAAACCAATTGGAGAATGATGATAAAAAAGAGGTAATAATCACGCGAGAAAACATGACATCATCACAAATAATTGATAGTCGATTGAATAATCAACATGAATCTGATACGATCAAAATGAAACACGAATACAATCAGAATAATGCAACGAGAACAATTGAAAATATAATAAAACAACAAATAGAGAACTCGAATCATCAGCATCACCAAATAATATATGATAAAAAGAGTTTAAATAATGAAATATGTTGTACTACTATTACTACTACTACTACTACTACTACTACTACTACTACTACTAATAATAATAATAATAATAATAATAATAATAATAATAATAATAATAATAATAATGGTGATTATAATAATGACGATATTTTATTGACACATTTACTAACTGAATCGAATGAAAACATACCATTGTACACTTGCTATAACCAACAATGTAATAACACTAACACTACTGAACAGTTTTACAATATTCCTAAAAAGCAGAACACTTGGTCAAATGGCAATAGTAACAGTGATAGTCATGGGCCAGTCACATGGCCAACTATACAGCATTTCACATCTCATCCTATTCTACACAGATAAATGCACATACTTATAAATTTAAAATTCAAAATGTAGGTAACAGTACACTCATCATTACTTTCATCATCATTTCTACATTACACACTTATTGTTACTATTATCATTATCAGTATATCATCATCGCCAGTAATGATATCAAAATTTAATTAATAACCAAGCAGTTAAAACCACTCATTCACACACATTACAGCTTTGTCTACACTTCTATCAACCTTTATTCTGTTTTGATTTGTTTTCCTCCGCTGCTTTTTTCTTTAACACATACAGAGAGAAAACGAAAGACAAAGATTGGACCGCAAAAAACACATATCCTAATGAATAAAAGCGTTAATTTCACATCATCACCATGTTTTTTACGTCTTCTAGATAAATGAGATTTTTATTGCATAACTCATAAAAACTTTTATTCTGTTAGTAGTGTTCTAAGCAAATTAGCTAGTCTAATAATTATCAGCATGGTAAGAATATTTTAAACATATGACGAAGAGAAAGTAGAGAGATGTAATGTGCGGTGCAGTGAGAAAATATAAATGGTGCGGTAAAGTTAGAGATAGTTATCGTGGATTGATAACATATGTAAAATAACTAATACGGAACATTATCACAGAAAACTTGTCGAAAAGATTAATTTCCGAAAAATAAACAGGAACCTCAGGAAATTTTAAAATTTAGCACTGCACAACAAAAGTCAATCAAGAATGCTAAACAATTTACCTGATCATAATAAGCTTTGACACGTTCACACCACAACTCCCAGTAATGTAACAAGTCACTCTCGTTTAAAACAAACCGAGCAGCTGGATAACCATCACCATAAGAATACACCAGCATTCCTTTTTTGACCTAAGTTAAATTTAAAATACATTGTCACCCATTTTGAAATAACAATGAACTAAATGCTAAAAAATGCGGTTAAAAATTATAAGCATATTTTTTAGATGGATATATGGTGGATGAGCTTTCCAGAAACACATAGAGCCAAGAAAATAATCTAAAGTATACGGGAAGTCCTGTTATTTTCATAACTGGATTGATTTAAGTAGTTTTTAAGAGCTGTATGTAAATAGCATGTAAGCTGTAAATCAATGCGCGGCCGTAGTACACTAAACACTAAATAAGTACAACCACTACACAAGGGGACTTATTTAAAAACCAGATCTCCCGATTGTTTTGTAACAACCAACAAATTCATCACTTTTTTGCTAAAAATACGTCTGTGTATGGTCTTAAACTGTTTGCATTTCTAGATTGTGCAAACTAACAAGTCAAAGTCAAAAGTGAAGTTACGTACATCAAATTAAGAATTAAATTTTTCCTTGAACAATTATTTCGACTGTTAAGCAGTTTAGCCTTAAGCAGATTAAGATAACTAGACGAACCTTTTGTTTTAATTTTACTCGTCAACACCTACAAGAAAGAAATGCCAGTCACAAAAACAGTTATGCCTTTACATGGTAAATTGAATAAAAATAGGAAAAACAAGTAATCAAGAGTATGTAGATTAACCTGTTAGTGGAAATCTCAAAGTCTAATGTTACATTTATTCTATATACAAAACAATACATATATACCTTAAATGCTTACAGCTAAGTAGTTTTGGAAAGAACAGAAAACATGAAAAAACATCATATGACATGACACACTGAAGCGAAATTAAAATAAGTTCCATGTTGCGAATTTGTCATGAAACAAGACATTAGCGCAGATAATAAACTATTGAGACACATAACGCTGTAATACAAGTAAGATGACATAATTTGCTATTAACAAGTATGAAACTGATAAGAATTAAATAATAACTGACTTATCGTTCACAATACTAAGAACTCAGATAATTAGTGCAGAAAATAGATGATGCTTTTGTTGTTAGACAATGACACGAACTGAGTTCTTTGATATGTAGCATACCTCAAAATGATAAGTAAGATACTAACATTCACAGAGGCTGAGTGTAAACTATGAACCTATACCATCTTCCCATGTGCATCTTGAAACGTGAATATTGGCAAAGTTAGTTTACGTACACGCATATAGAAGTGATCCACATATAGAATACGTGAGACTAGACTTAGAACAGAGTTTACTTTATCAAGTCGTTTACTATTAACTTGTGCCGTGCAAAAAGACACACACGTTTACGTTATGACCCACAAATTAATCGTAACAAACGGTTGGATTTAATTATTAGTTGACTTCTTAATTCATGAATATTGTATCACTGAATACTTTTCATTCCTCAAATTTCACAGACCTTATTTCTCTCTATAGTTTTCCACTACGGCTGGGAGTGTTTTTCATTTCTGGTCTTCCCTTTTGCTTATTTTTTCACTCTGTTTAAGTATGACAACTTGGATTGACGTATTCGTTTAGATCTGTTTGTTTGAAAAATACGTAATTACTACGAAAATGCTTCTATCCAACAGCTCTCTAAATAAAAGGGAATTTAAATAAAACCAAAATCTTTTATATTATTTACAGCCAGGAGCAAAAGTTCTAGAAAACGTAAACTTACAGGCAAAGATTCAGGATAACGAGTAAAATTATAAGCTCCAATATACGCGGCAACTTGTAATGGACTATCATAAGCCTGCTCAATAGTCAATATTCTTTTAGATTCGTGTACTGTTTTCCATTCAGTCAAAATAGGTTCGTTTATTTCTCTAAGTTTCGGTCAAGAAATAATGCTTTGTTGGATAAATGAAATAAAAGAACTGATAGTTTAATAAAATGATTTGTACTCGGTTACCTACCCTTTTTCTTAAACCGAAATGCACAACAAATAATTAATCCAAACGTCAATCAGAAAACAAATGTATATGGTTAAATACTTACTTTCGAGTGAGACTTGTACGAGGTCAAATGAAATCGAAGTACAGAGAACAGATGAATTTACAGTTAAAAGTCAAGTGTTTTACTCACCAAACCGCAATTTCACTAAGATATTTACCAGCTGCATAGTCTTAAAAGAGATACCATTTAAAATGCTGGAACTGCATTCCATAGGTTAATAGCACCATTATAGAATTACTAAATTAATATGTTGAATCAGTTACAACTAAGGACAATATCATTGAAAAATACAAAAACTGATCACAGAAGAGTAAGTAGATGCCATAATATTTATGAGCTATAAGATATATATATATATATATATATATATATATATATATATATATATAATTGGTTGAAAATCAAATCTAAACAGTTCTTTATAGTAAAATATATGCTAAAGAACTTCAGATGAGAACAAATGACCAATAAATCAGAAACTTGAATCTAAGACACTTTGAATAACTTGTTCTAAGCTACGGAATCCTTCAAAAACAAATATATTTTGTGAGAAAATTTGCCAATAAAAGAGATACGCGGAGTACTAATGAACTTTGGTAAACATACGGACTTTGTATTAAACAAAAAAAACTTTTACGAGTTTGTCAAACCCAAACCTACTTTAAAAACACTATACTATCAAACCTCCCGCGATACAAAAGCTGAGGATGGAAGCAGTTAGTTTCCACTGCAGAAGACTTTAAATCATCCAAGATATATTTGAGACTTTCACAATATTTGGAAACATTTTCAGGTAGATTAGAAGGAAACTTGCCCTTTATAAGTCGTGCTTCTACACTGGAATGAACACTTTTTCCTAAAAGCTGCAGTTCTATTTAACAAAAACATCTGTCTAGTGGTATTTACCTCTCATGTACTCCTGAAATCCATCTTCGCCAAGTTCATTTTTCTTTTTATCCTGCCATTTTCGGAGTGCAATTGCACTTTCCAAGGGTGTTGTTTTACTTAGTATAGCGGACACTGTTGGGACATTACGAAAATCTGGATGATTTCCGTCAGCGTGTTTACATGTGTTCCATGAATCAAAGATAGAAACTTTGTAAGGCTTGTTAGAAATAACAGAGAAGCCACGTCTAAAGATCTTAATCAAGCTACAATCCAATAATTAATTATGGTCCTAACTCACTATATTTGAACTCCCCCGATATTCATTCTACTATAAAATTAATCAATTCAGATATCTGATAAATTGAGTTAATTAAAAAATCTTCAAATGTAAGAAAATATAAACAAATACCTAAAATATGAAAAAAAATGATATCAAAATATAAGGAATTCGTCAACATCAAATATTGGTGAGATTTCGAGGGCTGCTTTTTTATATTGACGAGCATATTATTCACTCCACTGAACCGCATTTTACGAATCATCTATAGAGATTGTTAACTATGTACATAAAGCTAAGTAAATAACCGAACCAGAAACAGTATGATCGTTTGCCTGTTCCTACAACCTGAAATGGCGTGTCAAGACATATAAAGCGATAATCTAACTAAATGCCTACGTACAGTTTTCTACGACGATAGAAATAATCGTTAGTCATATCAGTCACTCATTAATTAAGTGAATTTATGCAACTTTAGTCTAAACAGTTATTTACATTTAAAACCAGGGTAGGGATTCCAATTTCTTGTTCGGATCATTACGTGCATCTTTAGAGAAAATCAGTGAGTATACTCATCATCATGAAGCTCCAACTAGTGAAAAAAATGTACATGACATCAAATTTTGCTTCAAATATTGGGTGTTCTATTGACTTCTAGGTAAGTCATATTTTCGTACGCTTTAACCGATGTGACCAGTTCTTTACACTGTCTATTACACGTGTACTAATGAATAAAAATGAATGTTTAAATAAAGCAAACACTGGTACCTTTTGTTTGAAAAATAAATTTCATAACTTTTGTCCCTTAATACTGTCCTTATCTCATTATGACAAACTGTATTTACATGGTATGATTGCTTGAACTGATGAACATATATGCTAAGTTCTACCTTTCTTATGATTTACCGGCTTCAGAAACCAGGTAATAAACACTACAAATTTTCAGGGGGATTTCATTCCCCTTTAAAACAAAGGGTTGAGGCTTTTAGTTTCCAACCTTTGGACGTTTCGGTGTTGTATAAAAAGTAGTAAACATATTTTGGCATATCCTAATACGTATCCTTAACAATTCCTATACTATATACTTGCGAATCTGACTATTCAGTCTTCTGAATCTAAACCTCTTGATTCGCCAGAGAAATTAGGTTACGCGACAACGATAAGGTCTCTATATAAAACACATATTATTCTTCAATATTAACATGAGTTGCTCCAGTTTGTTTCCAACAAGTCACATGAACGAGTCCATATTAATAGAATAGTCGCGTCTTTATGCTATTTCTGTTTATTGATACAACAATGGACCACGACAACCTAACGCGTCCTGAGCACCCCATAAGCTTTATAAAACTCAGGGCCGATACTGAAAATTACGAACGAATCAATGAAACTAAGCATAGCAAGCCTTGAATATTGGCGCGAAATCCATGCATTCATTCATGTAGTTGAAAAGCATTTTGGCATTATGGCTCATGTCATTTAGTAATGAAAACCCTTACTCTCTAAATCTTGATCATAAGTCCTCATATTAATTTATAACTCCCTTTTGACCTTTGTAAAGTGAGTTGTCCCAGGGTCACCTTAGTATCGCTCACAAGTCGTCTGAAAATTATAGTCTCACTAAATCAGTTATTGGCATTTTTAGGTTACAAAAGTGAACTCCTGTCGGTTAATGTGAAGGAAAGTGGAATTGTTGGGATTAAACAAAGAAAAGTAGAAAGTGGGCCGACGATATAACAAACTCAAAGTGAACCTGCATTTACAATAAAAACAGACACAAAAGCAGGCGTGGAGACAAAGAAACCTCGAAACCACCTTAGAGTAAATAAAGGAGACATTCACACAAACGTTCAATTTCTCTTAATACCCAGACTATTTATGGAAGGATATTTATTCCCCCAAATGAACGAAATAAGGAAACTCAAACTTTTCTCTGAACGCCACCCTTTTTTCTGAGGATTGATAGCTTCAAAATCTAGTACTTTAGACCAAATAGTTTAAATAGATGTGAGCACGACAGAAGGATCTTTCACTTAACAGTCTGCCATGTCCAGCAGTAGTGGATCACCAATGCCTCCAGGTAGACATATGTAAATGAAAAGTCTGAAATAGAGCATTAGTAAATAAAATGATTATTGCCCGCTGAGGAACTCCCGGAAAGTTTGTTGAGCCAGTTCAGACCGAATTTAGCTTACACTGACTACTAGTAATATAGTATGCCTTCAGTCCAACCTGTTACGCAACACTCCGGATTCCCAGCACTCCCTTACGGGTTTTTAATTAGAGAAAACCGAGGTAAGCGACTCAGATGATTCTCAATGATGTACAGAATGTTGTAGGTCAATATAAGCTTTCCTCTGAGTACCTTATATTCTACGAGATAAAGATACAGAGTTTTAAGGAATTCCTAGCAGGGTTTTAATTTGAGTTCGTGAACTGATTTCGTGTTTCATTTTAGATGCACTTAGAAGTATTTATATCTTTTTGAGGTGGATGAAATTAAGTTCCCATACTATAGGTGGCATTAACTGAAACCCAAAAACTGAATGGAAAGTACTATTATCAAGCTAAATAAAATCGCTGTTCAAAGTTATTGGTTACCTCTAGAGGATACCTTGTAACAGATAGCATATGATTTAACGTCTATACCTTTTTCAACAAACGAAACATCTAGTGGAGAGCTATTCAGGTTACACATGAAGTTTGAATCATGCCACAGATGTGCTTTTCACTCTACAGAATTAAAAAATGTGCATCATTATCCACCCACCTTCGAGGTAAAGTCAAACCCTCCTGAAACGCTAGTCTATTCTCTTAGTTGCTAACTTCTCTCCAAAGCTTCACATTAGTAAAAAGCAACATTCCAGAGGATACCTAGACGAATATCTTGGTTCTTGGGGAAACCTTAGTACAGAAAGATGAATAGTTCACTGTAACATTGGATAGCATACTAGTTGACCATGACTAAATCCAGCCAAGTATTTTGATACGTATCTACCCGAGATAATTGATAAGACAAGCATGATTGGCCCGGCCAACAGGCTTCCTAGAAGTCGAGACAGTACATTGGTGGCGAAGCTGTGTTACAGTAGTGGGCATTTTAATTGTTTATAGGTCAAGCAAAGCAATGAATTAGGTTGAGAAACAGAATTAGTGTCTCCATCACGAGCTGATATTAGCTACGACGCAAGCTTGCATCCTCAAGTTCATATCTCAAGTCCTAGTATGTTACACAGTCCATCTACCTTTGCTTTCTCTAGATTCACAAAATAGGTTAAGATCTTAGGGCTATCCTACTATATTGTACAGCTTTACCTTACCCTTACGATCGAGGATATAGATTTGATTATCTCTAGAGGTTAGTAGATTCGTGACGCAGTGAAGTTCAGAATTCATAACAAATTTTTTTCCAATTTTTCACTAAAACCTTTATATCACAGTCATGAACCAGATTATTTTAAAACCACGCTACTGTCTGAACACAGCAGAGGGACGATTGCTGAGACCTTGAAGTCAAATATTTTGCGTGACTACTAACAAGTATTTTTTTTTAAATAATTTATGTAACCATAAATTTAGGACCATATCTTTTCTTTATTTTGCTTAACCACTGTTCTTTATGTGTACCAACTGTGAACGCACACTATTAATGGGCATGTATAACCTAGTGAAATGTCACTGAGTTCATTAAATGCACACTACTGTATATTTTAAAATAAATTTCTTCTAAGTCATTTACTTTTCTTATTTATTGGTCACGGCTTTTCACTCAAGTTAACAATATTATTATAACATCTTTTTGGGCAGCTGTACACTACATTGGACTCTTGGCCTGGATTATCATACAGTAACGCTATCGGATTTATGCTTCACGTAATCAGTGTTGACTGTGAGGATGAGCATTTGCTGACCGAGAAAGCTCCATTTGCGGTGGCTATATCAGAAGCAGCTTACAAGTAACATTTACAGAACGGTTGTTGTCATTTTGTTACTTTCATGCTCTAAATTCCAACTTTCCCATTTGAATGTTTAAAACCAACAGTCAGTGGTGTTACTTTATAAATTACCTGTCGGTATCTTCACAGTTTATCCCTGAGAAAATCTATTACTAATTGCGATTAGTTCAACATTTTACATCGGATCAGTTCGGTCGTCCTGGTGGCATTCGTCTTAAGATCATGGGGCCCCTGACTGGTAAAATACCCAGACCTCTGATAGTATTATTTGATTTGTCTGAGAGACAGTTTAGACTGTCAAGAGACTGAGAAGATACAATTACTGGCTCGGTTTATAAGTACACGGGTAGGGATAAAGACTAAGTAACTATCTCTCGGTTATTCTAACCATGGCAATCGTCAAACCAGTGTAAAGTATTATTCGAAAGGTTATTCTTAACCATTTAGGAAACTTTTGCGTAGTGAGTAACATGGTTTCAAAAAGGTCTTTCTTCCTTGACAAAACTCATCGAGATAAGGTTAAACTTCAGAGAAACATAGTAGTATTCCGGTTATTTTGGTCCTTCTGGTGGTAAATAAATCCCCAAAATAAATAGCTCTGTAAGTTTTCGACATTGGATGCTGACCACATTAGTTTTAATGGACTCACCTATTTGAAGGCGCTCGGTCATACATCCACACCAGATCACGAGTGGGAACGCCGTACTCAACATCTACTGCAATCGTTAGCCAGATTAGTTCAGACGATCCTCGATATATTGATAGCCTATGAAATATATTTTCGAACCTCCTCGCTTCTGTCTTTTGATTTCACTTGGTGGATACGCTTCATAGTAAAAGGTGTTACTGGTTAAAGCGTTGTCAAACTCCGAATACTTGTTGCATTCTTCAGCTTCATAGATTTAAGTAGAGCCTTCTAAAAAGTCACTCACTTAAAGGCATATTACGATATCAAAAGTCGGAAGAGTAAAATTTTCGGTGAAAAGAAGTAACAACAATGTGAAAATAGAGCCTTATCGACATGGGAATCTGCAATGAGTAGCGTTTTCATGCCGCTGGGTACCCCTTGAAGATGCCACAGGTATTCGGAGTTTGACAACGCTTTAACCAGTAACACCTTTTACTATGAAGCGTATCCACCAAGTGAAATCAAAAGACAGAAGCGAGGAGGTTCGAAGATATATTTCATAGGCTATCAATATATCGAGGATCGTCTGAACTAATCTGGCTAACGATTGCAGTAGATGTTGAGTACGGCGTTCCCACTCGTGATCTGGTGTGGATGCATGACCGAGCGCCTTCAAATAGGTGAGTCCATTGAAACTAATGTGGTCAGCATCCAATGTCGAAAACTTACAGAGCTATTTATTTTGGGGATTTATTTACCGACACAGATCACTCCCCCCGTAGTGGGGAAGTGATGATCATAAGACGTGGCCAGCCAGAAGGTTAAACCCGATGGGCTCGTCGTTGCTAAACACTCTTCTGATAGCTTGGCATATTCAGTAGAGTCTGGTCATCTTTCCTTACTGTAAGAGGCCATGTGGTATAACATAGTAATAAAGAAACACGTAGAATGGAAACTTTGTTTACTTTTAAACTTCGTCTGTCTTTTTTCGTATTTTCTAACCGTCATGGAAAAGAAAAAGGGATATGTTAGTGTGTGCCAAATTACACTGATACGTGCGTGAAGACACGATAAAAAAGGGAAATAAACTCATGTATATCTGTTTCGTAAACATGCAATAGCGTGAAAGTGATTTTCACAGAATGTTTTTTTTCATTTAGTTTCTGTTTTTAAAAAAAATTAAAGTATACACGTATAGGCGAGCATATTAGCAAACGGGAAAAATTTGTTTTTTGGAATAAATGCACATGCATAATCATACTAAAAAAGCTTTTTATCATAATGCAAAGAACAATCGAAACAAAACAAAATGTAATGTGTTGTTTTATACGCAATAATCGTTTGAATGTTCTGGAAACATTACGCTTCTTCCATAACGCGTTGTTTTGAGTTTATTTTCAGATACTGCTAAAGTATCATAGTGTGTTGGCTATCGGGTGAAGTATCATGAGTGTAGGAGCCGTGCCATTCGATTATACCAAAGTGAAATCGACGTGGATAGGGTTTCCTTCTAAATATGCTGCTCTGACGCGATCGATGCTAATGCTATCGTTGGTTCCGTTCTTATCGACTATATTGTACTTGCGTTTGCGCTGAAGAACTTTGAAGGGTTCTTCGTATGCTGGTTCGAGAGGTCGTCGATGTGAGTCTCGACGAACGAATACGTGTATACCATATCGTAAGTCAGGTTGAGTGAAAACATTTGTTGATTGCGATAGAGTGGAAACAGGATTAACTAAACGCGTTATGTTTGTAGGCCTGTTTGTGTAGGAGGTTAAATCCATGTTCATTGAAGAGGATGAAGTATCATCAAATTCTCCTGGAAGTCGAAATTTCGTACCATAAACGAGTTGAGACGCAGTGTATCCAATGTCAGCTTTCACTGCATAGCGAATACCTAGTAAGACAAGTGAAAGAGCGTCAGTCCACTGAGAAATGTTTGCAGCTGATAGAGGAGCTTTTAGTTGTCGGTGAAAGTGTTCTACCAACCCGTTTGCTTGTGAGTGGTAGGCGGTCGTTCAGAAGCGAGTGATTCCTAATAGTGTAGTCAGACAACGGAAAAGTTCAGATTCGAACTGGCGTCCACGATTTGTTGTGATCGTTGTTGGGCAGCCGAAGTTTGCTACCCATCGTTTGACGAAGGCACGGGTCACTGTTTCAGCAGTAATGTCCTTGATAGGTACTGCTTCTGGCGGTCTACGCAAGTTAAGAGATAAGAGTACACATTTGAATCAGGTAAAGGTTCTACAAAATCCAGATGAACATGGTCGACGCGAGCATCGATAATTTTGAAAGAGCCTAAGGGACATTTGTTGTGTATAACTGTGGATTCATGGTCTACTTCGTTATTAGTATTGCTCTAATAATAGACCTAATAATAAAATTGCAGATTTGTCATGATGTAACTGCTTGGGAGTCACATAACTGTCTGCCCTGACTCACTGTATTCTAATGATCTTTAATATGTGATCAAGAACACATTTATGCTGGAGATAGAACAATTTATTTAATATGGATAAAAGTCAAACAAGAATGATCACACCTGCAAGGCTTAGTCATACCATCCGATTAACTGAATTAATTCCTCCCGCTTTCTCCATTGTTGGGTTTTTCTTGGTGTTAAACCATGAATATCTATTTTACCAGTTGTCTCGTGTTCAGCTTTGAGGATTGTGTGGTTAGGGCCCAATGCCATTACACAACCGCCTTGGATTTCTGTCAGCTTATACAGAAGCGCGCCCAGTTCCTCGCGTCTTTATTCATACCAGGCCAGCAAAGTAGTTCTGCAATGAGTTTGATAATTGCACGAACACCTGGATGAGGAAGTTTGTGCAACGTACTGAAGACGTTGCGTCGATAATGCTTACGCACGGTTGAACGACTCCTACCTGTAGATGTGTCGCATAACAACGCTTCCTTACCTGTTCCCATCTGTTAATACGCAGTTTTAGGGTTGTTGAAGATGACTCACGCTGAAGATCAGTGTCTCCTTTTAGAAGCTGAATGCGTTTACGAAGGTCGATTCCTTGGAAACCGGTCAAGGACGTTACACGAGACAAGGCGTTTGCAACTATATTTTTTGTTCCAGAAATGTGTTGAATGTCTGAAGTAAACTGCGGAATGTAGTGCACTTGTCGAGACTCTCGAGGGCAGTACTTATTTGAAGATGAGCCTAAAAAAGGTAAGAGGTTTGTGACCGGTGAAAAGAGTGAATTCTTGGCCTTCAACAGAGTGTTCAGAGTGCTCTTCAACACAATACATAGCTAGGAGTTCCCTACCGAAAGTGCTTTACTTCAATTTGGTGTTTAACAACCGTCTTGAGAGGAATGTCGAAGGTTGCCAGATGTGGTTAACCCACTGTGGTAAGACTCCTCCGATTGCCGAGTCGGACGCGTGTACTGCGATACAAATGGGTGCTTGGGTGTCTTGGTGTGCAAGCATGGTTGCATTTGCGATAAATTCCTTTATTGTAGAGAACGCGATATCGACCAAATTAATTGGCGCGCATTCGAGAACACAGGTGGTCTCGTAGTCTTGATGTGATGTTTGACATTGTTGGTTGGTTTGAATACTTTTTCCGGTTGGCGATTTTTCAGCAAGTTAGTTTTCCATGGGCTAGGGAGCGTCAGTAATTTCAGAGAGGCTCCAGGCGGAGCCAACATTGCTAGTTGCCCACGGCGATTTCGGTTACGTTTGATATATCCGGGAGTACTTACCGAGTATTTATTGATAGAATAGATCGATCGTCTACCTAACTGTGACTGGGGATAATTTACGACTGTAAAAAGAAGCTGCACAAACAAATAAATTAGTATTTCCGTCTTTAAGCTGGCGTTTGCGCGTGTCGATAAGTAAATTATAATGTTGTAGCAGGTCTATGCCAATTACTGAAATAGAAATATCCACATCAACGAAAATCCAGTAAATGAGTTCGCGCAA